ATGCTTCTCCTTCAGACAGTTAGCTTTGCAAGATGGCTTGGCCCTGGGCCAGGAGTATGGGTACATATGGGCCCAGCAACTCAGTATTCCCTTATCTCAGGCCTGCACAACATGGTGGGCCACTTGGGTACTACCAAAGGATTTTGGGCAGCCTGAGAAAAATATAGAGAATGTAAAAGAGGTCTGAACAGCATATAGCTTGTGGCCCATGGGGCCACATATTGTGCAGGCCTTCCTTATCAGAAATACGTAGAGCCAGAAAGACCTAGGAAGCATGAATGCCCTCCTCAACCCACCTCTCCAACCCTGTCCTCTTCAGAACTTCCCTAGTTCCAATCAGGGAGCCACCAACCTTCTTGTCATTTCAGGTCATGATCTTGAAGTCATCCTCAGTTCTCCCTGCCCCTCTTCCTCCTCATCCAATCCCTGCCTAAGTAGAGCAATCCTCCCTTAGCTCACCCACTCCCTTATCATGATCCCAGTACCAGCCCTCATTCTCTCACCAAGGGACTATTGGGATGGACTCCTAAGGGTCTCTCTGCTCAAGACTCCCCTCTCTAATCCATCCCTTATCATGAAGAATGACAACAGGGGAAAGTCAGATGAACTAACCACCATTTCAATCCTTCAGGCATTAGATTCAGTGTTCCATGCCCAGAATCCCCCTCCTACCCCTGCAATGAAAGGGGGGGGAGGGGGAGGGGGAGGGCATTCTCATCTCTCCAGTTCAAGGCCAAAGTCAGGCAAGATAAGTCACAGCATTCAAGCCTCAGCTGTTTGGTCCTGGTTATTTCCATTCCCGTTGGAGTTATAGTGTATCTTGTTTTCTGATTCTGTTTAATGCATTGGTTTACATACACTAGTAGTAACAGTAATGATTATATTAACAATAGCTAGCACATATTCAGGATTGTGAGGTTTGCAAAGCACTTTATGAATAGTATTTCATTTTGTCCCCACAAACACCCTGGGAAACAGACGCTGTTATCATTACTTCCATGTTACAGGTGAAGAAACTGAGGCAGACACAGGTTAGGACACAGAACCAGCAAGTGTCAAAGGCTGGATTTGAACTCAAGTCTTTCTGACTCCAGGTATGGCATTCTATCCACTGGGCCAAGTACAGGCCTTCCCCTGATGTCTCTGTGTTCCTCATTTCTCTTAGCACAGAAGTATATTCCATTGCTGGAGGGTCTGGTGAGTGAAATCTCCAGGAGGGCAGTGTCACTGGATGGAAGAGGACATGTGGGGCAGAAAGGGTGTAACAAGACTGGAAAGGTGGGAGAGCCTTGAGTTAGGCAGAGCTTTGAGTGCCAGACTGAGCATTTTTTATTTGCTCCTAGAAATGGTAAGGAGCCACCAAAGTTTATTGAGTGGGAGAGGGGGCTGACATGGTCAGACCTGCACTTTGGGAAAATGACTTTGGGGCTGGATCAGAAGGGGGACAGACTGGACACAGGCAGAGCCTCTCCCCCAGCAGCTATTGTAATAGTCCAAGGGTGAGGTGATGGTGTTTTGTTGGAAACTGATAGAGAAAACTTAATGTGGAGTATAAATTTAAATGATTCTAATTCATTATCATTTTGTAGCAGAAAAAACGGGCCTAGGGAGGGTAGCAGGCTAAAAGTGTTTGTATCCTCCCAGGCATAAAAGAATAACAGAGATGTCTCTGGGGAGTCCTAAATCTGAGTTATTGGTGGGGGGGAGGGAGGCTGAACTGAGATCAGATTCCCCAGCTCAAAGAAAGGAGGTTTCTTCACTGAGAGGCATCTCCCGTATTATTGGGGTAGTGGGGCAGCACTGACCCCAGGCTGGGTTAAGGTACCTTTGGACATTCAGCCCTCCCCCCACCTCACCTTCACACACCTGGGCTGGGAGGAGGCAGGTCATGGAGGAGCCAAGGTTAACCTATCATGGCTAGGAAGGCTAGGAGGTGGAGGGAGAAGAGACATATATAGTGGGAGTTACAGAAGGCTGTAGGACAGATTCTAGGGAGCAGTCACTACCTTTTTTCATTCAACTTTGTACCCAGACTGAGAATACATCAAAGAACCTGGAGTCTTTGGCCACAGAAAGTAAGTCTGAGTCTCAGGTGCCCTACCCACCCCCCAAACCCTGCTCTGGGAAGCCCTGCTGCTCTCTGCTCTCCCCCCACCTCCTTTGGTAGATAAACCACCTCAGGACCAGGAAATAAAGCATTTTTCAGAATCATTTCAGTCTCAGGATTCCCTTCCCAAGAATCCTCCCTTCTTCCCAAGAGAGAACACTCTAGCAGCCTGTCACCTCCCCCCATGCTGGGAGGCTGCCTGGAAGAGGGGGGTAAGAGCACTGCATTTGGAATCGGCACCTGGGTTGGAATCCAGCTCCCCCAGGTCCCACTACCTTTCTCTAGTATTTATTTGGTGCTTTACATGTGTGATCTCCTGGGATCCTCACAACCCTGCCAGGTAGGGGCTGTTTTCCTCATTTCACAGACGTAGAGAACGAGTGTGAGTGGTGCAATGACTTTCCCACGGTCTTAGCTAGGTAGGACAGGTCAGAAGGAGGATTCTTAACTGGGGTCTAACTGACTCCAGGCCCAGGGTTCTACCCACTTAGCCTTGGTGGCTAAGTCAGTGAACCTCAGTGTTCTCATTTGTAAAATGAGGAGGCTGGATTTGGTGACCTGGAACTAAGCCCCTTTCAGGTGTCAAACATACCTGCATTCCTGTGATCTGGAGCTGAGCTCAGAAAAAAGCCTCAGGAACGTTTAGAGTTGGAAGGATGTCAGGAAATGATCTTGGAATTCCCTTCTGGTGTTAGTCTGTGCTCCAGGCTGGAATCCTGGCTGTTCCTTAATGCCCCTGTGGCCCCAGGCCAGTCACTGACCTCTCTGAGCCTTGTTCCTCCAGGCCAAATGAGGGCTTGGAGCTCTGGGGCCCCTCCTGGGCTCCAGCCCCTGGTCCTCTGAGAGCTGGCCCCTTGAAAAGTGGACTCCAGCCTGTGAAACCATCTCTGTCCCCAACTCAGCTTCCTGGTTCCCTGCCACTCTCCTACCTTGGACAGCATTCCCAGCCCATGCTGGGGCCCAGGCTCAATTGGGAGAATCCTTCAAACTCATTTTGGGGACCTGAAGGAATCCTCATCCAACCATCAACTTTCTCCCTTGCTCCAATTTTCCCAGGCTAATTAGGTTCCTGTGGTGTCATTTTAACCTCCCCACCTCTATGCTCTGCCCTTCTCTCAGGGACTGTCTCTGGCCTCCTACTCATTTTCTCTTCTCATATTTAAAGGAACAAACATAAAATACCCTCCTTCCCTCACCCCACCCCCAGCACTGGCCCATTTTCAAACATTGCTCCTAGAAGCCTTCTTGGCCTTAACACAGGGCCTGGCACACAGAAGATGACTTTTTGTATCAATTTTAGAGGTTTTCAGTCATGTCTGATTCTTTGGGACTTCCTTTGGGGATTTACTGGGAAAGAATACTACAGTGTTTTGCCATTTCCTTCAGCTTATTTTACAAAAGAGGAAACTGAAGCAAATAGGATTTAGTGATTTACCCAGGGTCTGAGATTGGATTTGAATATAGGTTTTCCTGACTCCAAACCAGGCCCTCTGTTCAATGCATAGAGTAGGTGCTTAATTAATGTTTGTTGTTTTATTGGCTGAGGGGAACAAGGAAGTGGACGATCTCTGAGGTTCCTTCTTAATTCTAAGAACCTAGGAGCCTGGGAGCTGTGACCCTTTTCTACCCCTGCTCAGCCTTACTTCTAAGGGCCCAGTGGGCCGGGATTGGGGTGCCCAGAACCAGTTTGTGGCTACCTCTCAAATGACTGGGGACCTGGAACTTGTTTCTCAATTCCCCTTACCTCTCCAGATGAATGAATGAATGAGTGAATGGTCATTTATTCAGCTCTTAATTAATCCATGCCAGGATTTGCAGTAAGTGCTATCAACTCTAGGCCCAGAGGGCAGATATGCCCTCCCTCCATTAGCCCACTAATTACAGGTGTAGGCCTTTAGAAACCCTTTCCTGAAATCTATGTCTTTTTGATTGCTAAGCCCCAGACTGCAGATGGAATGGGAGTGTGGGGGTTGGGTTATGGCCCCTTCTCCCAGCTCTGACCCTTCCTCCATTCCCTTCTTCTAGCATTTGTTTTTGCTTCTTTCCCCCTCCCCCCCTCCTGGATTCTGGAATTCCACTTTCCTCTTCCTTAATTTTCTGGGCCTTCATTCTTCCACCCTCTTACCCATCCCCCCCTTTATCTCCCCCTTCTCTTAATATTGGATAGACCAGGAGGGTCTTGGGGCTCCTGCTGTCCTTTGAGGCCACCCCTTCCCCCCCAAGTATTCCTTTTGCTCCCCTGCAACTTTCATCCCAGTTCTTCCTGGTCTTGAAAGATCAAATCCCTTCAGGTCTCTTTGTTTTCCTCTGTAAAATACAAATGAGCACCCCTTTGTTTTCTGGGTTTTGTTGGGGGTCTGTTGGAACAATGAAATGTTAATGGTTCTCCCCAGAATTTATCTGAGCCAAGTCTCAGGCTCTCCCCTAATCCCACCATCCCCTCCCCCCAGCTCTGAGTTTTTCCTTTTGTGTGGGGTCTGTAGCCCCATTGTTCTGTTCCTGATTCCACATCTCATAAAAGTTCTAGTATTGGCCAGATGCTTGCAGATTGAAAAACATAAACAGTCCTTGCCCTTATGGAGTTTACAATCTAACTGAATGCCTAGGCTGCCTGGTCATTTATGAATATTGGGCTGATCTCTCTGGGTGGAGCTCTTTGTGAGGAAGTCCAGCATGCATTGGCAGGAATATGTACATATAATTATTTATTTACCATATGGGGCCATGGGGTGTTGCAGCAGCATAATTTCAATGCAGGAAAAACCCTACAAATTTATAATAAATTGTTAAGATGCATCTTTCTTTTCAAAAATATTTTATAGGTTTTTTTGAAATCATGCAAATTTTTAAAAATCATTAAAGAGTGAAAGAAAGTAGCTTGGGGTGGGGGAGTGCTAAGTAATTTTTTTTTGAGAAGGCGGTTGTAGGCTCAATAAGTTTGGGAACCTCTGTTTTGGCTTCATTTTTATCCCCAAACTTTCCCTCTCCTTTCCAATTCAGCTAACAAGAACCAAGAGTAATACCCATATTACTCTATTAATACCCATAATACTCTGCTCCGATACCTGGATGATCAGTGTCAGTCTATTCCCTGAGACCCCACACCCCAGCCCAGTAACATTTTTTTACAGTCAGATGGCCTTACGTTTCCACAGGTAGAATAGTGCAGAGAGTTATAAAAACAAGTCGAGAAAGCAGTTACACTGCAGGTGGGCTTGGGCTTAGCCCAAAGCTGATGGTTCCAAGAAAACCCCAAAATCAAAATGAGAGTGAACCTCAGGCATAGTAACTTCTCCACCCAGGGTGGGGGTGGGGGCACAATAGGGCAGGAACAGGGGGCATTCCAGAAGCAATGTAACCCGGAAGGAATGGACCAATCCAGGCCTGGGAGGTTTCCTGCTGAATTTAACTGCATAAAAGCACACTTGCCCTTGCACTTAGGTCCCACCCCTCCTGTAGATGGGTGGAGCTGGCTTCTGGCCAGAAACTTCTAAATCCTCTGGACTTTCTCTGTAATAAACTTTCTGGATACTAAATTTTTGGTGTCAAGCGCATTTCTAGCAATTTGGCGCCCAACATGGGACCCGATCGCAGACTCCGGAAGGGACAAGCTGAGACATCCGGGGAAGAGCGCTCCCACTGTATTTCAGCAGTCTGGGTGAGTTGAGCCTTTCCCAAGGGAACTCACATCTCTGAACACGTGGGAGAACTCCAGGGGATTGGGGAAAGCCGCCTGCAGACCATGAGAGCCAATATATTGGGCAAAGGTAAGAAACAATCTTTGCTGGTCTCAAATTCCCAAGGTCCAGGGATCTGATCTGTTAGCCTTGAGCTAGGAACAGATTAGGAGATGGGAGGGGCAAATTCTAAGGTACCTAGACTAAGAGGAGGAATCCCCAGGGACTACGTTCCCCAGTTATTGACTACTGGAAATCAAGAAAGGGAGAGGGGAGGGTTCCTAAGGGAGTATTTTTGGTCTGTTATGTCTGTTGCTGTTATGTACAGGCACCCAAGCACCTTATCATTGGGACCAGGGGTCCTGACTTCCTGACCTCAGCTCCTCATTAGGATCCAGCTGTCTTCCAGTGAGAGAGCATCTCTTGGGAAATAAAAACAAGACAGAGGGAAAGTCCCTCAGTGTTAGGATTGGGGTATAGAAGATCAAGAATGGAGATGTGCCAGGGTGGTAAATGTTTTCAGTTTAGAGAAAAGTTAAGTGGAGGTGTGCTTGTCTGGAGTCCAGGATGCAGAGGGAAAAGGGGATCCTGAGGGGGGAGGGAATATTGGGAGGGGAATGGGCGGGAGAAGCAGGAAGCATGTAGGATAGGCATATACTTATGAGGAAGAAGATGAATGTAGCAGGGGGAAAACTGGACTACCTGGAGATTTTGCTGAAAAGAAGAGTCTCAGAGCACAGTAAGGGATGGAGAGAGGTGGTAGAGCAATGGGGAAGGGGAGATGTCAGACATGGTTGATTGGGTGTTGTCTTTCCTTCTTGAAAAAAACCAAAATGGCATCACTATGTTAGGGTCAAATTACAATGCGTCCTACTGTGGCTGATCAGAGCAATACAAGCTCAGAATGTCCTACCACAGGTCAGGCACAAATAGTCTATGTGAATATTTGGGGTGGACACTCTAAACTTTTGCGTCTCTCATTTCTTTTGGGCTACTTCAATTCTGCTTTGCTCACAGAGCACAGCACCTTTTCTGATGTGGGCATGCCATGCTGGGCGCTCCTGCGCCAGTGTCTCCAATGTTACACAATCAATTCCAAAATTCTTAAGAGAGACCTTGATAGTGTCCTTGTATCACTTCTTCTGGCTTGCCCTCTGTGAGTTCTCCATGAAATACTCTTTTTGGCAAGCATACAGCTTGCAATGGAACATGGCCAGCCCATCCAAGGTGATATCTCTGAAGCAGAGTTTGAATGCTTTTCAGCTGAGTTAGAGAAGAGACCTCAGTATCTAGTATCTTATCAGAATCTTCCTAAGACAATTCAAATGGAAGCAATCATTTCCTGGCATGGTACTAGCAGACTGCCCAGGTTTCACAACCATCCAACAATGAGGTCAGCACAACGGCTCTCGTATAGCATCAGTTTGGTAGTCAGTCTAATACCTCTTCTCTCCCACACTTTCCTTTGGAGCCTCCCAAACACTGAGCTGGCTCTGGCAATGCATGCCTCAACCTCATCGTTGATATGTACATCCTTGGAAAGTACACCACCAAGGAAAGTGAACTTCTCCACAGCATTCAAGCTTCTCCATTTGCTGTAACCAGTGGTTCCACGTGTGGATGGGGTGGTGCTGGCTGGTGAAGTACCTGTGTGTTTTTGGTGTTGATTGTTAGGTCAAAATTAGCACAAGCAGCAGAGAAATGATCCACAATCGTCTGCAAACAGAAAATCACATACCAACACTCCCTCCACTTTGGTCATGCCTCGTAGCCTTTTCAACTGGAAGAGTTTGCCATCAGCATGGTAGCTGACTTCGATGCCGCATTCATCCTCATTGAAGGCTTTTGGTGGGTGGTGACCTTGGTGGAATAAGAGACCTGGGGTGAGGTTTGGAAGCCTGGGAGGAGGGCAAGGGACTGGTGAGGTCAATTTAGAAGCTGGTGTGTAGGGCAGAGCTGGGCTGTTGGGATTAGGAGGACCCTCCCAGAGCAGGTTGGCTGGAAGCAGAAGCACTAGAAACTGAGATCTCTCTGCCTTCCTCTCCTGGAGCTGAGATCATTCTGCCTTCTGGGAGCCAGCTCTGTACATGCAGGTGCCAGGCAGATCTGAATGAGGGCCCCTACCCGCACCCCACTTCTGCTGGCTGCTCTTTCCATTGGGCCTCATCTTCCCCTTATGACCTCTTGGTGACTGTCTTCCAGCCTTGCCAAAGTAGGCCCCCTTCAAAATCCTGGCTCTGGGGCTTGCCCTAGCTACTTGTCGAGGCTCCCTGCCACATCCCAAAGGTCCTAGGGTGCCATCCTCAGTTTTACCAATGGGTCACATTTGCCCAACTCACATATCTCGTCCTTAGTATCAGGTGGAGGCAAAGCTCTGGGTCTGGTGTCACTGAGGCTCTGACTCATCTCATTCCATCTGGGATCCCAAGCCCCTTTTGCCTCCTGGGTCTCAGTAGGACAATGAAGATAGGGCATGAGGTCAAAGAGAAGGAGGTAAAGAGGGTGGCATGTCCTCTTCCTGTTCAGACCAAGCTCACTTCTTTTTTTTCCCCAAGTTCACTTCTAAGCCTGACCCTCCCTCTTGCTGTCCTCCTGTGGTAGAGTCTCTCCTGTGAGGGAAAGGCAGGACCTTTGTAAATGTTCTGAAAGCTCACCCTCTGTCATTCCAGGTAAGCCAGCATCACTCTAGGAAGAGAAGGCAAAGATAATGTCTATCCCACTCTCAGATTCTTCTCCCTCCCCAGGCCAGCTTGCTGAAGACCAAAGCCTATTCCTAGGAGAGAGCCTGGAACCAGACAGCATGGCCGTTGGGACCCAGAGCCCCTCATCCCAGGTGAGTGCAGTCCATCCACAGACCTGACCAGCCTCAGCAAACCTGGAAGCCAAGAGAGCCAAGGAAGTTTTATCCTCTTCGACGAAGGTTGGCCTTTGCACTGCTGTTGGCAGAGCAGAAATTGTCCTGCTGATTCTGCTCATGTCCTCCTGCCTCAGATCACACAAGCCTTCCCTGGTCTCTCTGAATCCCTCTCATTTACCATTTCTTAGGCCAAGTCAAGAAGCATTTAGAAAGTGGCTCCTCTGTTAACTGGGTTAACCTACTAGGGATGTAAAGGAAGGGGGGAAAATCACCAAAAAACAGTCCCTGCCCTCAGGGAGCCCCCAGTCTGATGGGAGAGAAATGTCAGCAGCTGGGTTCACACAAGCTCTGTACAGTGTAAATGGGATGCACCCTGAGAGGGAAGGCTCTGGCAGTGTCAGGGTCCAGGAAAAGCTTGTTTTCAGAAGGTGAGATTTTAGGTGCGACGTGAAGGAAGCCAGGAGGCCCAGGTGAGGGGGAGGGCATTCCAAGTATGAGAGACAGCCATTGGGTTAGGGGATGGAAGGTGTGGTGAAGGATCAGCTAGGAGGCCAGTGTCCCTGGGTCAGAGAGGAGGTAGAGGGGAGGAAGGTGTAAGAAGACTAGAAAGGGTTGAGGACCTAGTTGCGTGACATCTGCTATATGCCAAGAGCCATACCAATCTTATCTCCTTTAATCCTGTTGTGAGAATTAGGGTCCTTCCTAGGAACAGCCACAGTAAGGAAGCACAAGGTACAGTCAGACAGTAAACTGTGGTTCATTTATCCAGTGAAGAGTATGACACACTCTACAAGTGCCTGATGGACATGGGTGTCTCAGAGTTCCACAGAGGCTATAGAGACGAGTTCTCCTCCTGAACTACACGACTCATCTTTTGGTAGGATCCATGAGGTCTCGTAGCCAGGCTTACAAGGAAGTTTTGAGTAATATCAGGGTAGGAGACAGAGATAGGAAAAAGTACATTTCTTAGCAAAAGGAAAAAAAAAATGTGAATTTAGAGTTAGAGTTAGAAAAGTCTGTTGCAAAGGACTTTAGCATAGCTACTTACACCAGTCCAAAGAAAACAGTAGCTGCTTGATTAGGCAGGTAATTAATCCACATTTGCTAAGCCTTCTTAGACAAAATAACAGGACTGGAAGGGAGTCCAAGGAGGTTCTTTTTTTTTTATTGGGGGAAGAGAGGTACTGAAGGGGACATTGAGTACATGGACCTAATAACAGCCAGTATAGCATCAAATGGACTCAGTTATGTTTTCATAAAAATTCACTTTTAAAAACCACTTTAAAAACCATTAGCTACTTGCTATATGAAAAACTCAGTGAGAAGAGTTGGGAGATATGAGTGCCCAAGATGTGAGGGTGCTTCACAGGGTTAAAGGAGAAAAGAGATTGGGAGGGGTTGACTAGAGAGCAGCAGTCAGGGGACATTGGTTGAGGAGAACTCTCCAATCTGGACACAGGGCCTCTGAATGGGCTCTCGAGGTCTGAGTGAAACAGGAATCTTGGCATGAAGGTGGCATCAAAGACCACTTTTCATTCTTTGAAGGATGGTTAGGTGGAGTATGGGTAGGCCATCTGACCTGTCTGACCTCCTGGCTCAGACCTGCATGTGGACTCAACAGGTAGGGACCTTGGGACTCGCTTTTGGTCAAAGTTATCAAATCTTATCAGCCTTAGAAAGAAGTTGGCTAAAGAATGTAATTCAGGAAAATTATAAAATTCCACCTCAAAAATCACGTATGGCATTTATACATTTGAACCAGGTGATTCTAAAGAGCTCCCAGCCTTGATTCAAAATGGGGCCTCTTCTTTGAATGATGTTGACATGGTGAGATCTTGGAATGCCTAAAGATAATAGCTCCACCTTCATGATCTGAGGACTCAGCAGTGGTAACGCAACAAGCACTGTCATGTCTCAGTCACTGGGCTGAGTGCTGGGGTTACAAAGCAAGGTGAGCAGCCCCTCCCTTCAAGGAGCTCACTTTTCCATGGCTTTAGTCGATTCAACAAGTCAGTGAGCTTTTCTTTGCATCTAGTATGCTCCAAGCATCTGATAGGCTCTTGGATTTCCAAGGATGGAAAAAGAAAACTGAAGACAATTTGTAAATAACTACATACGTACGTACATGTGTGCATGCGTGCACATATACATATATACACACATAGTTCCATGATCAGAAGCTAGGAGGTGTAGTGGATAGAGCTCTGGTTCTGGATTCACTAAATGTAGCCTTACACACTTGCTAGTGACTTGGTGTCAGTTTTCTCTACCATGTTTGCCCTCAGGGAACTCACAGTCTAATGGGGAAGACAGCAAGCACACAGTTATGTACAACAGACAATGGGATATAATCAATAGAATGAAGGCTCTAAAATAAAGGGGAGCTGGGAAAAGCTACCTATAGCAGGTGGGATTTCCCTTGAGATTTGAAGGACCCCAGGAGGCCTCAGTGAGGAGGCAGAGAATTCCAGCCATACTGGAGAGCCAGAGATGATACCCAGAGCGTAGAGATGGAGTGTCTTCTTCCTGGCATAATACAGAGGCCAGTGCCACTGGGTCACAGAGAAGGTCGAGGAAGTAAGGTATAAGAAGATTGGAAAAGTAGGTGACTTCTAAATCACAGTGGGCTTTCAAAGTAAGATTCTCAGATGAGACTGTTGGGGCAGTCACTAGTCAATAAGCATTTATTAAGCACCTTCTGTATAAGTTTGAAAGTAGTGGAGCCAGGTGCAAATGTGGAGATGTGTGAGCTGAGCCTCCTTCCATGGAGGTTTGGAGTACATGAGCTCACCCCATGGTGAGGAAGAGAGACTTCTGGAGGATGGGGAAGGAAAGAGGCATGCAAGAGCTTCTGATAAGTACAAGTTAGGGGTGCAATAGATGAATTACCAATGAAGAAAAGCATGACCTTCCTCTAGTGATTGTTCATACTATGAATAAATACAATGCCAAAAAGGATCATGACTAAAAATACCAAGTGAAAAGGAAAATTTTGTTAATTCTTGGGAATCTAAAAAATCAGGAAAACTCTAATAAATTCTTTAATTGCTCAAAAGTTCAAGTGCTTACTATGTGCTAAAAACTGTGCTTAGTAGGGGTCATGGAAACAGAAGCTAACAGCAAGCTAAATCATTCACAGTTGATCATTGTACAATATTGCTGTTACTGTGTACAATGTACAAAGAAAAAGAAGCAAACCACAGTGTCTGCCCTCAAGGAGCTTGCAGTGTAATGGCAGAGACAAGAAGTACAGAAATATGTACAAATAAGCTCTAAACAGCTTCTCACAAACTCTTCATAGAATTTTCTTAATATATCACTTAGAACACATCTGCTGGGGGGGCATTTCACATCACCTTTTCTCTTTCTCCTCCACGGATTCTTATACCTCACTGACAGAACATATACCATCTCCCTGATCCCATTGAGAGAAACATTGTATAATTATCCCAGCTTTTATTATTGCAATGTAAATCTCACTTCAAATAGAAAATCATTTTTCTCAATATTCCATTGGGTTCTTAATGACTGCTTTCAAGTGTTGGCTGACACTCATTAAGGTTATATGTGTTTTAGACAAACCCCTTCTCTGCTTCAGTTTCCTCCTCTAAGTTGAAGAGGGTTGGACTAGATGAATCCTGGAGTCGCTCTCTCAGCTCTCAATGACGTGCCTTTTGATGGTTTAGGAGCTGGTGACATTGAAGGATGTGCTTGTGGACTTCACTGAGGAGGAGTGGGGCCTCCTAGATCATTCCCAGAAAGAGCTGTACAAGGAGGTCATGCTGGAGAATGTCCAGAACCTGCTGTCCCTGGGTAAGGGCCGTGTCCTCTCTTTTCTTGGTGTTAATTGTCAGGCCACAAGTAGCACAGGCGGCAGGGAATGGATCCATACACTGGTGCAGCCAATCATCAGAGGCTGCATTCACTGCACAGTCATCTACCCGCACCAACTCTTCATCCACTTTAGTCTTGGCTTTCAGCCTTTTCAAGTTAAATAATTTACTGTCAGTCAGGTAGCTGGAAATAAAGATCTGGATTCATTCTCAGAGGAAGAAAGTGAAGTTTAAAAAAAAAGAAAAACCCACACCTATTTCAAAGAGAAATTTCAAATAGTCACAAGCCCAAAAAGAGTCCTTGGAAGAACTTTAAAAGGACTCCAAAAATCAAATGAGGGACTGAGGAAAAATTAGGGGAAAAAATAAGAGCAGCTCAGGAAATCAAGAAAATTATGCAAAGACAGTTAATCATTTAGTACAAAAGATCCAAAAACATAGGAACAAAAATAACTTCTTAAAAACTAGAATTGGGAAAAGAGGAAGCTAATGATATTATAAAACACCCAGAAATACGAAAAACCAAAAGAATGAAAAAGTAGAAGAGAATGTGAAACATCTTGTTAGAAAAACAGATGACATGGAGAATAGATCAAGGAGACACAGTAGAAGAATTGTTACACTACCTGAAATATGATCCAAAAACAGAGTTTAGATACAATATTTCAAGACATTATTAAGAAAAATTGCCCTGAAATTCTAGAATAAGAGGTGAAATAGAAATAGAAAGTCATTCAAGGGATCCCAAGATGAAAACTTACAGGAATATTACCCCAAGTTTCAAAACTCACAGGCTAAGGAGTAAATATTAGAAGTCACAAGGAATTAAAAAAGAAAAGAAATTTAAATACTGTGGAGCTACAATCAAGATAACACAAGAGCTAGCAGTTTCCACATTAGAAGACCATAGGGCTTTGGACATTATATTTCATAGAGCAGGGGAGCTGGAGTTGTGACCAAAAATTACTCACTCAGCAAAGCTGATTATAATCCTGAACAAAAAAAAATGGACATTGAAAGAACTGAAAGACGTTCAGTTAATTATGAGAAAAAGAACAAAACTCATTAGAAAATTGTGCACAGAAGATCCAGGAGAAACATAAGGTAAATATTAAAGACTAGTTATAAGGGACTCAGTAAGGTCAAATGATTTACTTGTTATACGTAAAAATGTTATCTTGTACCCTTAAGAATGTCATAATTATTTGGGTAGTTTGAAAGAAAATCTTTAGTTGAGTTGAGTATGATAAGCTGATTCTAAAAATCAGAATTGGATAGTGCGAGGTAAAATGAAGCAGTTATTACATAGAAACACATCCTGAAAGCAAGTGAGACAGGAGAAGCAGATGGGAGTGGAGGGCTGGTAGTCCTGGAACCTTATTCTCTTGAGATTAACAGGAAGAACAGAATATCTAAATCATCTTGTTTTAGAACAAGAAATTGAACTGGTGACAAATGAACTTCCTAAAAATAAAGCATCCAGATCAGATGGATTTGCAAGGGAATGCTGCCAAACATTTAAAGGTCAGCTAATTCTAGTATTAAATAAATGATTTGGAATAGGCATAGAACAGAACTACCAAACTCCTTTTGTGAAACAAATATGGTATTGATATTCAAATCAAGAAGAAGAAAAAAAAGAAAATGATAGGCTGATTTCATTCATGTCTATAGATGTCAAAATACTAAATAAAATACTAGCTAGAAGATTACAACAATATATTACAAAGATTCTACATTGTGACCAATTGGTATTTATAATAGCAATGGTTTAACCAAAGGAAAATTATTCACATCATTTATTATATCAGTAACAAAAATAACAAAAATCATGGATATATCAATAGCTGAAGAATACGCTTTTGATAAAAACAGAATACTCAATCCTATCAAAACACTGGAAAGTATAGGCAAAAATGGATTTTTCCTTAAATTGATAAAAAGCATTTATCTAACACTGTCAGCAAGCACTACTTGTAGTGACAATAAGCTAGATACCTTCCCAATGAGATCCGATGTTGAAGAAGGATGGCCATTGTCACCAATGTTATTCAATATTTTATTGGAAATCACAGAATAGCAATAAGAGAAGAAAAAGAAACAGAATGAATCAGACTAGGGAATGTGGTCATAAAAATATTTCTTTCTGCAGATGATATGATCATGTCCATGGAAAATCCCAAAGACTCAACTAAAAAGTTAGTTGAAACAATAAATAATTTTAGCAAAGTAGTAGGATATAATGTAAACTCACATAAATCATCAGCATTCCTATCTATCACCAACAAAACCTTGCAAGATAAGACATCAACGGAAGAGAGTAGATGTGCAATTTACAGCAGCAAATAAATACAGTAACCTTGTATTTGACAAGTGTAAAGACTAGATTTTGGGATAAGCATTCATTACTTGGTAAAAATTGTTGGGGAAGCTGGTAAGAAGTATAGCAGATATTAGGCAAAGACCAGCATTCTGCAATGTATCAGGATAAGGTCAAATCATATATGTGACCTAGATTTGAAGAGAAATATTACAAAAAATGTGAAGATCATGGAACATGTTACTTATTAGACTTATGGATAGGAGAACAATTCATGACTAAACTAGAGAAGAGAGTGAGGTATGAAATGGATAATTTTGATTACATTAAGTTAAAAAGATTTTGCACAAATAAAATCCATGTAACTACAATAAAAAGGAAAGCAGAAAACTGGGGGTGTTTTATACAATTTCTTTTTGTTTGTTTTTTTATTATGGATTTAAACAAGCATTTCCATAACATGTTACGATTAAAAAAAAATTACTGCAGATGAAACTGCAAATGTACTATGTACAACCTGTTATTCCTTTCAAATACACAGCAAAATTATCATGTAAATTTCTTTTTTCTCTTCCCTCCTCCCCTAAAGATGGCTACTATTAGACAGACATATAGTTTCTCAGATAAAGTTCTCCTCTCTCAAATATACAAAATATACAAAAAAATTGTAAAATTCATAAGCATATGAGTCCCTCCCCAATTGAGAAATGGTCAAAGGATATGGACAGGTGGTTTTCCCATGGAGAAATCCAAACAACTTAAAGTCATATGAAAAAATGCTCCAAATCATTGAGTAGAAAAATGCAAATTAAAACAATCTTGAGATATTCTACACCTATCAGATTGGCTAAAATGATTGTTAACAAACGTGACAAATGTTGGAGTGGATGTGGGAAAATTGAGATGCTAATTCATTGTTGGTGGAAGGTAAACTCATCCAACCATTTTGGAGAGCATTCTGGATTTATGCCCAAAGAGTTGTTAAAACTGCCTATATACCCAGTGACCCAGCAATACCTCTACTGGTCGTATTTCTAAAGATGATTAGGGAAAAGGGAAAAGAGCCTAAGTGTTCTAAAATATTTATAGGAGCTCTCTTTGTGGTGGCAAAGCACTAGATGCCCTTCAATTGGGGAATGGTTGAACAAGCTGGGGTAGAAGATTGTGATGAAGTACTGCTGTCCTATAAGAAACAATGAGCTGGGGGCGACTAGGTGGTGCAGGGGATAGAGCTCTGGCCTTGGAGTCGGGAGTACCTGAGTTCAAATCTGGCCTTAGACACTTGACACTAACTAGCTGTGTGACCTCACCCTCAAAAAAAGGCCAAGAAAAATGCACAAAAAACAATGATCTTGATGATCTTAGAAAAACATGGATAGACTTGTAGAAAATAATAAAGAGGGAAAAGATCAGAAGCACGAGAATGTTGTACACAGTAACATCAAACTATTCTTAAGAACAACTTTGAGTGAATAAGCCATTTTGACTATTACAAACACCCAAAAAAGTACAAAGGACGTACGAAATAAGAAGCTATCTGCCTCCAGAAAAAGAGTGGATAAATAGAAGTGTGTTTAGAATGATTTTACACGCACACACACACACACACACACACACACACACACACATACACACGTTTGTATCTGATGGTAGCCATCTCTAGGGCAAAGGGAGGAGAAAAGGGATAAAAAGAAAAGAAATTTACATGAGAACTTTACTACCTATTTAAAAGGAATAGGAAGTTGTACATAATTGATTTGCTACTTCATGAGCAATCATCTTTTTTTATTACACAATGTTATGGAAATGCTTATTTTATTCCATGAATTAAAAAATTTAAATTAAATTTAAAAAAAACTAATGATAGTAATAAAAAAAACTATCTGGTATTAGCTAAGAAATAGAAAGGTAGGTGAGTTCAACAGAGTAGCCACAAGTGACATAGTAACAAATGCTTATAGTAACTTTGTGTTTGAAAAACATGGAGAGGGGCAGCTAAGTGGCACAGTGGATAGAGCACCGGCCCTGGATTCAGGAGGACATGAGTTCAAATCCAGCCTCCGACACATAACACTTACTAGTTGTGTGACCCTGAGCAAGTCACTTAACCCCATAGCCTAGACCCAAAAAAAACCAAAAGAAAAATGTCAAGACAATTTTTTGTATTAAGAATTCCTGATTTGGTGGAAGTTGTGGGGAAAGGTGGAAAATATTCTGTCAAAAATTGGACAGACACCAATATCATACTCCATTTGCCAAAATGAAAAGAACATGGAACATGTTACAAATCAGACTTATGAGAAGGTGAACAATTTATGCATAAACAAGAGATAGCATGGTAAGGTGCAAAATGAATAATTTTTTACTAAATTATATTTAAAAGGTTTTGTAGAAATAAAACCAATGCAGCCAAAATCAGAAGGAAAGCAGAAAATTGGGGGTGGGAGGTTATAGACAGGTTCTCAGACAAAGGTCTCATATTTCCAATATATAAAGAACTTGGTTAAATCTAAAAGAATATGAGTCAGTCCCCATCTGATAAATAGTCTAGGAAAAGGCAGATTCTGATGAAGAAATTAAAGATGTATACATTCACATGAGAAAATGTTATGAATCATTATTCATTACAGCAATGCTAATTAAAACAACCTTGAGATAGCATCTTATACTTATCAGATAGGCTACAATGATAGAAGGGAAAGTAACAAATGTTCGAGGGGATATGGAAAATTTTGGACACTAATTTTCTGCTGGTAGAATTGTGAACTGATCCATCAGTTTTGCAGAATAATCTGTAATCATGCCCCAAAGAGTTCTAAAACTGTGTCTACCTTTTGATCCAGTAATACAACTCTTAGGTCTATTCCCCAAGTTGATAAAGGAAAATTGAAAAAAAAATTCTATATTTTAAAATACTTATAGCAGCTCTCTTTTTGGTGGCAAGAACTTTAAATTGTGGGTTTGCCAGTTAATTGGGGAATGGCTTGAGAGAGATTGAGTACAACCTGAGGTAAATGGTTAGTAGCTTCAGCAGTGTTTGAGGATGGTCTGTTGAGAATGCTATGGAAGTGTTCAGCTCAGCTCTCCACTATCATGTCCTTATCACTAATCAATGTGGCTCCATCAGTACTGAGTAGCTGAAATGGAACAAAGGGCTTTGGCCCATAAATAGCCTTCAGGGCATCATAAAATCACTTTGGATTTGTCCTATCAGCACCAAAGTGAATTTCATCTGCCTTCTTACTGAGCCAAGAATCCTGACTCTCTAAGCTTTGCTTGCACTTAATTTGGTGGAGTTAAGATCTTCTTAGAGATGGATGATGTAACCTACTAGTAGGCCTGTGGAGTTCTCATTTTCTGTTTAGCACTTGAATTTCCCCATCTTTTTCATCTCACAACTTTGGATGATTACAACTGTTCTGGCTCAGATGAGTTAATGTGACGCGGTACGACAAATCTCTGAAAGTTGGCCACTCCACTCCTGCTTGAATGTTGAAAACTATGATTTGGCTCAGCCTTCCTCCAAGTTAACAACAAACTGTTCTCCCTTACAAGAGAGTCACTCTATTAATGATAAGTTTTCTGGTAGTGACCTTGCCTTGGGGCTACTGCTTTTGATAAATGTGAATGTTTCCTCTCTGATGGGTCCAGCACTATGTAATGTACCTCTCCTTGGTCACTCTCATAGCCTGTCTGTCTCTTCCCCTTAGAGTGACATAGTCTGTTTAGTGCCAGTGTTTGCTCAAAGAGTGAATCCATGGAGTTTTACTACATTTGGGATGGTGATGAGAAGCTCATAAGCCGTAAAAGTCTTAAGTAATCATTGTTATTACATATACTTTTGTGTGTATATGTTTTTGTGTCTATATATTTGATTGCCTGTTTTCTCCAGATGTAGAGATCAAGTTCAAAGTAAATGAGATGGCCAGAAAGGTGGGAATTTTTGTGGAAGAACATGACCTGCACAGATTCATGAGTGATGGTCCCTGTGACTTCAAGTTGGGAGAAATCCATGACTCTAATATCAAGGTAGATAAAAATCCAAAGAGTGACTGGGAATTTGATGAAATTGAAAAGGGATTCAGACAGTCTTCTATTCTAAATCACTGTAAGAAAATGACCTCAGGGAATGAGTGTGTTCAGGATAGGGAATATAGCAAGTGCTTTACTGAAGGGCTAGTGCTTTTCCAGTCCCACGGGAAGGCTTCTGAAATGCCAACATCTCCAGGTAATCAATGGGAAATGGCCTTGAGCTGGAGTTCAGACCTCCTTAGACATCAGAAAACTGATATTGGAGGACTGCTTTCTGTAAATAATAAAGGAGGGAAGGCCTTGAGTCAGAACTGTAAGCTCATTTCTCATCAGCAAATCCCCAATAAAAAGGAGCCTGATGAATATAATAAATGTGAAACAACTTCATCCCTTCACTCCTCTCTTCCTTGCCAGCCTCAATTTCTCCCACGAATGAAAAGATATGCATATGCTCAATGTGAGAAGGTCTTTGGTTGGAACTCAGATCCTGATAGACCTCAGAAGATTCATACTGGGGAGAAGTTTTATAAATGTGATGAATGTGGGAAGGCTGGGTGCTACAAATCTCTACTTATTGACCATCAGAAAATCCACACTGGAGAGAAACCTTTTGAATGTAATCAATGTGATAAGAGTTTCACACAGAGCTCCAATATTGATGTATATAAGAGAATTCACACTGGAGAGAAACCTTACAGATGTCATCAATGTGGGAAAACTTTCACACAGAACTCCAGTCTTCTTGTACACCAGAGAATCCACACTGGAGAGAAACTTTATGAATGCAATCAGTGTGGTAAGAGTTTCACACAGAGTTGCAAACTTGATGAACATCAGAGAATTCACACTGGAGAGAAACCTTACAGATGTCATCAGTGTGGAAAAACTTTCGCACGGAACTTCAGTCTTGTTGCACACAAGAGAATCCACACTGGAGAGAAGCCTTATAAATGTTATGAGTGTGAAAAGTCTTTTAGATGCAGTTCCAATCTTGCTACACATCAGAGAATCCACAGTAAAGAGAAGCCTTTTGAATGTAATCAATGTGGAAAAGCTTTCGCAGACAAGCGCAATCTTGCTAGACATCAGAGAATCCGCACTGGAGATAAACCTTATGAACTTAATCAATGTGGAAAGGCATTCACAGAGACTTCCAGTCTTGTTTTACATCAGAAAATCCACACTGGAGAGAAACCTTTTGAATGTAGTCGACATGATAAGAGTTTCACACAGAGTTCCAATATTGATGTACATAAGAGCATTCACGCTGGAGAGAAACCTTACAGATGTCATCAATGTGGAAAAACTTTCACACAGAACTCCAGTCTTGTTGTACACCAAAGAATCCACACTGTAGAAAAACCTTATGGGTGTAATCAATGTGCAAAAACTTTTAGACGCATCTTCCATCTTATTAGACATCAGAGAATCCATACTGGAGAAAAACCTTATGAATGTAATCTATGCGGAAAGGCTTTCACACAGAGATTCAGTCTTGCTAGACATCAGAGAATCCATACTGGAGAAAAACCTTATGAATGTAATCTATGTGGAAAGGCTTTCACAGTGAAGGATAAGCTTGTTGCACATCAGAAAATCCATGCTAGAGAGAAGGCTTATGGATGTAATCAATGTGGAAAGACTTTCCGATTCTGCTCCAGTCTTGCTGTACATAAGAGAGTTCACACTGGAGAGAAACCCTAGGAATGTAATTAATGTGTAAAGGCTTTCGGAGAAAGCTCCAATATTGCTGGAGATCAAAAAATACACACTGAGGAGAAATCTTATGAATGTAATCAATGTGGAATGATTTCACACTGAGCTTCAGTCTTGCTAAACATCAGAGAATCCCCATTGGAGACAAACATCATGAGTGTGATGAATGTGGCAGAGCTTTTACTTAGCAGTGTTAGCATATTCCACACTTGAGAAACTTTATGAATATAACGAAGATGATAATGCCTGATAAGGGCTTCCTTTCTAAAATATACAGAGAATTAAGTCAAATTTATAAAAGTACAAGTCATTCCCCAATTGATAAATGATCAAAGAATATGAACAGGCAGTTCTCAGATGAAATTAAAGCCATCTATAGTCACAAGAAAAAAATGCTTTAAACCACTATTGATTAGAGAAATGCAAATCAAAACAACTCTGTGGTACCACATCACACCTATCAGATTGGCCAACATGACCAAACAGGAAAATGATAAATGTTGGAGAAGATGTGGGAAAATTGGAACACTAATGCATTGTTGGTGGAGTTGGGAAATACTCCAACCATTTTGGAATCAATTAGGAACTATGTCCAAAGGGCTACAAAAATGTGCATACCCTTTGACCCAGCAATAGCACTTCTAGGACTGTATCCCAAAGAGGTCATACAAATGAGAAAAGGACCAACATGTACAGAAATATTAATAGCAGCTCCTTTTGTGGTGGCAAAGAATTGGAAATTGAGAAGATGCCCATCCATTGGGGAATGGCTGAGCAAGTTGTGGCATATGAATGTAATGGAATATTTTTGTGCTCTAAGAAATGATGACTTCAGAAAAACCTGGAGAGATTTGTATGGTTTGATGCTGAGTGAAGGGAGCAGAACCAAGAGGACCTTGTACACAGTAACAGCCACATTGTGAGATAACTAATATTGATAGACTTAACCCTTCTCAGCAATACAAGGTTCTAAGACATCTCCAAAGGTCTCATGATGGAAAATGCTATCCACATCCAAAGAAGGAACTATGGAGTTTGAATGCAGATCGACCACATAGTATTTGCTATTTTTTTTCTGTTGTGTTTTGTTTCCTCTTTCTCTTGGTTCCTCCTGTTGGTTCTAATTCTTCCTTACAACATCACCAATGTGAAAATATGTTTAATAGGAATGTATATGTAGAGCTTACATCAGATTGTGTACACTTTTGCGGGGAGGAGGGAGGGGGAGAAAAATTTAAAACTCAAAAGCTTATGGAAGTGATTGTTGATAAATTCAAAGTAAATTAATTTTTAAAAAGATGATAATGCCTTCAGGCAACAATCATCTCCTATTTCCCATCTCAGAATCCATAAGACATAAAAATAAGATTATTGTCATGAATAAAGGCATTCAAATGAAGTTCAGAGTTTCTGGAGTTTTAGAGAAACCATTTTGAGGAGCACATCCCTGTGTACTCAGTGTGGGAAGGCTTTCAGCTAGAGATCATCTCTTACTTTCCATCAGAGGCTTCATTGTGGAGAGAAGTCATACAAATGTGCTCAGTGGATCCATGCTTTTCTCTGGAGGAGGGTGATCAGTAGACATCCTTATTCCTATCGGAATGAAGGTGGATAAAGGCAGTGGACATGGGAAAGTCTTCCCCTAGAGCTTGCACTTGACTGTATTTTGGAGAAATCATGTTGGACACAAAAAGTTAGGGATCTAATTACCAAGGGAAGGCCTCCTGCAGCAGCACAGACTTCATTAGACCTCCCAACAAAAGAGACCTCATAATACATCCCAAATTCCATCCAGTGCATAAAACCCTATACGTATGATGATTTTTTTTGTCTGAAATCCTAATGTTTGTCATCCCTCCTCAATATTTCATGGCATTCATAAAGTATCATTTTTTCATTCATCCCCCAACTGTTGTTTGCTGGCATAAAAAGTTCTTGTTTGAATGCTTTGGTAACTATTGGACATTAATTTCTGTAATGCTTTCTTTAAGCTTCTAGATGGCACAATAGATGAAGTTTTGTGCTTGGAACCACAGGGCCTGAATTCCAGTTCAGTCTCTGGTACTTACTACCTGTATGTCCCTGGGTACGTCAGGTAACCTAATCCTGCCTGAATTGTCTCATCTGTAGAATAGGGATAATAAGTGCATCTAGCTCCCTGGGTTGAGGTGAAGATTAAATTCAACATTATTTGTAAAATGCTTTGCAAATATTACATTACTATGTAAATACTGGCTATTTTTTGTATCGTTCCTTGGGTCATTGGTCTCATAGTAAAGTCAGTTGGCTAAAACATCCGGACAGTTCAGTCACATTTCTTTCAATTCACATTGATATTCACAGCAGAGTAGTGGAAGCCATTTCTTCTAAGGGATAAGGTACAGCATTTAGAATCAAGGAAAACTTGAGTTCCATTCCTGACTCAGATGCTCCCTAACTCAATAACTCTGGGCAAGGAACTACCTCATACCTCACTTTGCTCATCTCTAAAATGAGGAGGTTGGATCCAGTGGCTTTGATGGTCCCTTCCAGTTCTCAAGTATTTATTCTCATTAAAAGTACATTCATATGTCTCCTTCCTGTAGCCTGCTCCTATATTCCATGAAGGAGGCCGAACAGGACCAAATCTGCAACTATATCAGACCACTTAGAAATAAAGTGTTTGAAAAGTTGACAAGATCAGGTATGTAACATAGAAAAGAAGATGCGTAGAGTAACCTTGTGTTGACTTATTCCCAAAAAATCCATTATGCTGCCAGTACTTACTAAGCACTACACAATATTGGAAACAGTACAAAGTAGTCTGACAGAAAGTGGACATGGGTTCCACTGGAGACCAAGATGAACCCCTGATGAATACCTGACTTGAAAAAGGTCACCACAAAGGAATTAGAGGAACCACGAGGAAAATACCATCATGTGTAGTGGAAGAGCTGATCTCCACACAAGGGCTAGAAAGCATCACAACAGACTGAAATGGCCAATTTCCATCCCATTAAAACCCACAATACAGCTAAAATTTAAAGGGAAGCACTTAACTGGGAAACACTTGCAACAGGTTTCCCACATAAGGACCTCATGTACAATGTCTGTGAAGGACAGATACTGGTTCTATACAAGCCTATGAAGAATGACCACGATAGACATGGGCCAAAGCTAGGAACAGTCAATTTTCAAAGGAAGAAATGCCAGCTAACAATGATCATAAGAAAAAAACTCTACATCTATAACCGCTAATCCAAATCGTTAATAATTAGAAAAATTTTCAGATGGCTAAAGGTGGTAAGAAAATCAGCATCACCAATATTGTAATTGGAATTGTTTTCCTTAATTGTGTAGTGGTTACAAGAGGGTTTTTGTTGTTGTTATTATTTGTTTGTTTTCCTGTCACAGAAGAGAAAATACATATAACTCTTTTTTAAAGCGCAAGTGAAAATGGTCCAAATCAATATATATAGCTAAATGCAAATTACAATCCTTTTCCATTTGGCCATTTCTACTTTTTATGCAGTTTTTCAAGCTGTTGACTTATTTTCATTATTCTCTTGCATCACTCACTTTTCTTTTCCCAATTTTTCTTCTGCCTCCATTATATGATCTATAGGCTGCTTTTTGAGCTCTTCCACGAGTTCTTTCTCAGCTTGAGACCATTTCCTGTTTTTCTTAGGGATTTTGCCCATAGGTGTGAATTTTGGAAGTCATTTTTTATTAAAAAAAATTAAAGAGCAACTGCATCAATGGATAGAAGTAATAATCCCATGAAAATCTACATCCATAAGGGAGCATAAGCCTCCTCTTTTGTTCTTTCAGAGAGTCTAAGTTAAGTACATACATGAACATTTTCATTTTGCTAACATGCCATTGGAATTGGATTCAAGTTTGTTAAAAAGTCTGATATTTTTCCAATACGTGGGATATTTTTCTTCTTAAAAACGGACATGGAGAAATGATCGAACTCATATGGTCATCATATATATCATACATACATATGGTTGTGTAATTAGTGATCTCCTGGGCCCCCCAATCACTGAGAGAGGCAGCCCTAGGCAATCAGATGTTTCCACATGCCAGAGCATATTTGAAAGATCATCAAGACGAGACACCATGTGAAGCTTTTGGCAAATGTTCCTTGGAAGTGTTTGGGGATGAGGTGATGCAATATCACTCCTAGACTTTCTGAGCTTGTCCTCCCTGCCTCTTCCATCTCAGCACTACACCCCCTCTTTTTTTGTCTTTGGTGAAGCAATTGGGGTTAAGTGACTTGCCCAGGGTCACACAGATGGTAAATGTCAATTGTGTCAAGTATCTGAAGCAGAATTTGAACACAAGTCCTCCTGACTCCAGGGACAATACTCTATCCACTGTGCCAGCTAGCTGCCTCAACTACACCTCTATCAAATTGAGACCTCTTAGAAATAAAGTGTTTGAAAATTTGACAAGATCAGGTATGTAATATAGAAAAGAAGATGAGTAGAGTGACTTTGTGTTCTCTTATTTCAAAAATGCCATTACACTGCCAGTACTTACTAAGCACTACACATCTTTGGCCTCATTTTTTTACCTAACCTTCATCTCTGAATGGGTGTTTTCCCTGACAAATGAAACCTAGGAAAACCTTGGCTTCAAAAGGCCAAGGTCTCCCATTAAATTCAGAGCCATCTTCAGTCCTCCTAATCTGTAGCTTGGCACTTAACCCAGATGACTCTGGAGGAGAGAGTAAAGCTTGTGACTTTCCACAGCCTTGCCTCACTTATGTCCAATTCACTTACAAGTCCAGACATCACCTTCCTGGGGTCACCGCCCTATTTAAGAACAAAGGAGAAGCAACAACTGAACCTAGGTGGCAACGGAGTTTCTTTCCAGGGATCCAATCTAGACCTAGAAAAGACTTCTGAGGTCATTCTGCTCCTTACTACTAAGCCAGGGAAGTCAGTAGTCAGAACAGAGGAGGGAGAGGGCTCCAGGTGTGGGGGGCAGCCAGAGAGAATGCCTGGAGCCAAGAGAAGAGTATGTGGCATGAATGAGGGGGAGTAAGATGTAAGAAGACTGGTAAGGGGGTAAAGGTGTAGTTTATGAAGGAATCTGAATGCCAAAGAGAGCCTTTTGTATTTGCACCCTCTCTGGCCATCCCACCTGCCTCTCTGGTGCTCTACCTTCCAGCAGCCAGTGGGTCCCTTTCTATGCTCAGCTAACTTGAGAGGAACCGACTGGTTCAGAAACTTCCCATTATGTGTGCACAAACTGGAAATGGGTGGTCATCACCTTGCATCCAAGAGTGGATCCTTGAAAAGGAAACAGGGTTAGGACTCTTCTTGGGAGTAGAGATGTGGGGG